CCCCCCCCCCCAATAATCTGCCTAGTGAGTGAGTGAGGCACACACTATGTGGGGGCCACAGGGGCCAGGAGCAGACACTGTCCCCTGTGGGGGTGACGGCCACAGAAGGTTCGTGCCTATTTGGTCAAATCCACAAAACTGCCTTCAGTAAGGTGTGAACCTAACTCAGAGCTCTGAGGACAGCAGGAGGCGACGGCCATGAAGGCGGAGTGGCACCTTTATCACACGGTAGTTTGTGACACCCCAGGGAGAGCCCTGTCCTGTCTGCTCTGTCCAGGGCCTGTCCCCAGAGGTGCCCCTACAGAAACATGGGCTAAACATGTGAACAAACTGCTCAGAGAACTGCTCTGCTCTCAGTGCCTCCTCTCGGGCCCACGGGAGGGACAGCACTGTCCTCATTGGGGGGACCTACCTGGGGAACCCGCCCACCAGCACCCACCATGCTGGGCAAAGTGCCCTGTTTCTCCTGAGCTCACACTTTGTTCTATTTGGCACAAGTGAGGAGTGTGAGAGGCGGGGACCTCCTGTCCGACCCTTGGAGGAGGGAAGTGTTCCCAACCGAAAGCCCACTGACACATCACCCCCCTCTTCTCCCAGCCTGGGAGCTATTCTCCCAGGTGGGGCGCCGGGGGTTTTCCTGGGGGACCAGGAAGGGTCAGGCTCTGTGACCTTGGTGAGTGACTCCCGCACCTGAACCCTGTTTTTCCTCCTAGGCATGGACCAGCCACTATGGCTGACACCCCTCAGCAAGGTGGGGGCCCTGGAGGGAGGCCAGGGCCCAGCTGCACCCCCTCCTTTCCCCAGGATAGAAACTCACGGGGGAGGAGGAGCTGCCACCAAAGAAGGTCACGCGGTACCAGGTGGCGATGAAAACCCAGGTGGCAGAGAAGTCGGGGAGCTCGGGGAAGTAGCGCCGCACGTCCTCCGTGGCCCTGCGCAGCACCGCGGGGTCCGTGGCCTCCCGGTAATACACGTCGCCTGCACGCCGGTTGTCCACGTCCGCCCAGAAGGCGGCCACCACGCAGCGGTCCTTGGCGATGGGGAAGGCCACTGGGGTGAACTGAGAGACCTCCTTCAGGAAGGAGATGATCCCGTTGTTGTTCACCTGTCAGGGCAGGAAGCCAGAGAGGGGTGATGGGGGCCCTGGGCGGCAGGTGGGCTGGTGCGCCACCCCCAGCCTCCCCACAGCCACCCTGCCAGGGGGAGCAGCCCCTGGGGGGGGGTGTGTGTGTCCCAGGATGGCCTGACAGCTCTTGGTCCCGGACAGGGGACCCCCTCGGCACCTAACACCATATCCAAAAATTAGCTCCAATGGATCAAAGACCTAGAGGTAAGAGGTCAAAATTTAAAAATTATCCAGAAGGAAACAGGATAAATGCATTACAACACTGGACTTGGCAGCCTGTGCAGGGCTGTGGGGATGGACGCAGCGAAGCCGTGCTGGGAAGCAGTTGGCACTGCAGGTTCAGAGGTGAGGGCACCACAGAGCCCGCCCAGGCCCCTCCGCAGAGGCTCCGGGATTCCAGGAGGAGCAGGATGGTGGGTCGCAGTGGGAGCTGAGGCGGGGCCCAGCCACACCCTGTTTAAAATCAAGCGCTGATGGGATGAGAGCTTGTAGAAGCTGAGTGTGACCGGTGGAGGCCTGTGACTCGCCAGCCCGGTACCCCCCTTTGGGTGGGTTGACTTGAAATTGACCACTAACGAGGGAAGGGCAGGGCCCAGCAGAGTGGGGGGCTCGTGGAAACGGTTCAGGCGGCAAGCAACCTCGGTGTTTGTGAAACAGTGGCGCTACCCCTGGGGAGCCTTTTCTCCCACTCAGCACCCAGGGAAGCCGCTGGTTTCATGGGCCCTCGAGTCACAGAAGGTCCCCTGGGTGGCGGCGGCCTTCCAGCCACAGCCCCAACTTAGGAAGCTTGCAGGAAGGCCAGTCAGTGCTGTGGGCGGAACTGGGAGCAGTCACCCTGGACACCCGGGGGACTGACTCTTCATGACCAGACACACTAGGTTTTCACTGACCTTTGGTTGTTGCAGATGGCCTGGTCGGGGTCAAGGGGGCTGTTCTCTGAGGGGCCAGACAGTGCCTTTTTTGGCCTGTGGACCCCATATGGTCTTTACTGCACATTCCTCTCCATTCTTTCTGGTTTTGTTTTTACAGCCCTTTAAAAATATAAACATTCCTACTCACAGGCAGGACCGTGGCTGTCCTGAGCGGACCCCTGGTTTTGCAAACCCAGGCGCTTTGCTGGCACAGATACGCACACTCGCTCATGTACTGTCTGTGGGGCTGGGAGTAGAGCAGCTAGTCGCAGCTACAAGCCTGAAGGTGCCCACTACCTGGCCCTCTGCTGAAAAAGCCTGCTGGCCAACCTGCCACCGGAACAGCACAGCATGACCCACCAAAGATGCCCACCTGGGTCCTGCTAACATGGGAACAAACTGCAGCTGCTGGTGAAACAGCCTGGGCCCCCCGATTGGACTGACGGGGCCAGGCTGCTGCTGGAGGGGCCTCCCAGGCTGCCCCTCTTCCCGGACCTCATAGCGGAAAGAGCAGCACAGCCACCCCCACGGACCAGGCAGAGCAGGGCTGTGCGCTGCTGAGACAGAGCACGTCACCCACAGACGCTGGCCGGCTTTTCCCAGGGCGGTACTGGGACTTGGTGCTGCCACAGGCACCACGGGCCACCTGCTGGGGCAGGGCCTGCCTGCATGGCCCCTCCTGTGTGCCTCCCCCACTGGCCCCACTCTGCAGACCCACCAGGTTTCCTGCCTGCCTTTGAAGTGCGAGTCCAGCTCAGGTGTGTGTGGTGTGTGCAGGGGCCGCCCCAGCCTACCCACAGCACTTGGCCACATTCCCCTCTCCTGTGTGCCTCCCGTGGGGTGTGGGCCCAGAGCCTGGGGTCCAGGAAGGAGGCAGAACAAGTCGGCCCTGTTTCCCTGCCAGGGCAGGGCAGGGCCAGGACCACAGCAGAGCGGGCAGTGGGGCCAGGCACTGGGCACACAGGCTGCTGGCAGGCCAGTCCCCTGGACAGGAGCCTCCTGGACATCCCCGGTCCAGACGAGAACTCTGAGCGTCCTGTGTGGGTGGGGAGTGGGCAGAACCCGGACCACAGGGCTGGGTGTGGTGGGCCCAGGGAAGCGAGCTGCCCGGCAAAGGCTACTTCTCGCAAAATACCAGTTTTATTCTTCTTCTTCTACTTTCAGTAGCACTTAGTGAGACACGCAGCACAGACATGGAAGCAGGAAAGATGAGGCCAGGCCCCCTGCCGGACGAGCCCTGTGAACTGGCGCACATCCTAGATCCCACCCCTCATCTGCACAGGGGGCCCACCAGCACGCTCTTCTCAGAGACTCGGCTATGGCCTGGCTGCTTGGGTCCGGGGCCCGGGACGTGCTGCCCACACCAGGGGCCACGCGGGCCTGAGGTCAGCCCAGCCCAGTGCAGCGGGACCCTCGCAGAGACGCAGGGAAACCCATGGGTGGAAAGGGGGGAAGTGTGGTGCTCAGCCCTCCGCAGCCTCCCAGTCCTCCCTGTAGGTCAAGCTCAGACCTCAGGGTCAGTGTCAGCATTATTATCCTGGCCAACAGGGGCCACCTCCGTGGTATCCAAGCATGTGCTGCTGAGAAAACCAAGGTGCCACTGGGTCTCAGAGCCCAGGGTGCCTGTGGTGGATGGAGCTGAGCTTGGGGTGGGTGACTGGCAGGTGCACCCTCCTTGCCCAGGCGGGTAATCCTGCCCCTCTGAGCAGGCTGAGGATCTTGGGAAGGGAGTGGCTGGTCAGCTGGGAGAGGCCCTGAGGCCACATGCTACAGGAAGCCCAGTGACTTTGTGAACTCCAGGTGGCCCTTGGGGCATGAAGGAGGCCCATGCTTCACCTGAGGGGTGGGACGTGTGTGGTTAGCAGGGTCTGGCCTGCAGGGACCCAGGCCTTTCCTGCAGGACTCGGCTGGCCCTGGCTGGCTTGGGGGTTGGGGGGTGGCATTTCCGACTTGGATAGAAACAGGAGGGAGCGGAAGTGTCCGGAGAGCCTCTTGGAGGCGACTTCCAGCCAAAAGCGTGCGAGTGGGACGGGCTGGTCCTGAGTGGGCGGGAGAGCGTGAGGGCTGGCCGATGCCACCTCCCTGGGCGGAGGGGCTGCTCTGAGGGGGCAGCCTGGAGGGGAGCCAGGGACCCTGCGTGTGCGGCCACAGCACCCTGCTCTGCACGCAGCAGAGCCAAGAGGGCGGGCCTTGGTTCCTGCTCTGTCTTCTCTGCCAAAAATAAAACAATAAAGCCCCTGAGGCCATGTCTTTCATTTCCTGGCAGCTCTTTGGGTAATCAGGGTTCCTCCCACAGCACAGTTGGGACTTGAAAACTGCTTGCAGGGCAGTGAGTGGGCAGGGTCCTCTGGGTCCACGGGTAAGGTCAGTCTGAGCCCGGAGCCCGGAGCCCGGAGCCCGGTGCACACCCAGCCCGAGGAGCAGCAAGGTTGGCTCTGGGCTGAGCACCCGCATGCTGAGGTCCTGGGGGAACAGCACTTGGGGCTGCCAGAGGGCTGGGAGGGGAGGGCGCTACCACCGGGAACAGCCAGGGCCAACTTCCTGGGGGAGGGGCATCTGAGTGGAGCCAGCGCCCATTTGGCTGTGGGGTAGGGGTGAGGGTGGGGAGTGAAGGAGGAATTCCCGAGGATGGGAAAGAGAAGCTGGTGCTGGGGGACCAGCCCTTCCTTCCCTCCCAGGCCAAGCCCAGCTGGACTGTGGGCCTCAGGCTGCACTTCCTGTGGTCTGCTGTCCAGGGCCTCCCTGTGGCCATACCCTGGTCTCCTGCAGGGCTCATGGCACTGCCTTCTCTGGGCCCAGCCCTTTGAGCTCCTCCAACACCTGTCCCTCCCATGTCCTGTCCCTCCTGCTGTCCTCCCCTCCCCTGGCCCGTCCACTTCCTTGTGTATACCTAGCCAGCTCCTGCCTCCCCATCGCTGGCAAAGCCACCTCTTTGCCAGTACACCTCAGCCAGGTGCCCCTCTAGGGCCAGAGCCCAACTCCACAGAGGGCCCTGGACCTGCCTGCCGGTGGGCAGTGGTCCTTCATCACCCGTGCCTGCAGGATTAAGGTGTCTGGGTCACAATGAGCAGGATGGCAGGCCAGTGGGTGCCCTCAGGCTGATTCGGGGCCCATGCAAGCTTGGGTGGGGACCTAGGGCTCTGCATTTTCCTCATGCTCCCAGGTGACCCTGCAGGGGCCCACCCTGGGATCTGCTCTGGACGATGCCGGAGCTGGGTGAGTGGGTGCCTCTAGGCGAACCCAGGCCAGGTGAGGGGGCTCCTTCACTTAGGCGAGAAGGGTGAGGGGGAGAATGCCCTCGGGGTGACAGGGCAGGAGGGAGACACTGTGAGAAGCATGTTCCCTCGGACCCAGCCTGTGCACATGGAGGAACTGACCGTAAGGAAAGGAGAGAGTGGGAGCTGTGCAAAAGGACACACAGGGTGGTCATGCACCGGCGACATCAGTTCATGGGAGACCCTGAAACTACCCACAGTCAGCAACTTGATTGGTTAAAACGAGATGGCACAGCGACTGGGGGGAGTGTCACACTGTCACCAAGAAGCTCTTACACACCCCAGGCACCGGAAAGGGCTCACGCACTATGCAGGGAGACACGCAACAGAAACTTGTGTGAAGGGCAAGCTTGTTTCGTGGCGACCTCACTGTGCTTGAAACAGACCAGAGAGAATTTGGATGTAGGATCGTGGATCATCCCATGACCAGCATGGACTGAGGCTGCCAGAAGCCAGCTCCTCCCAGAAGCCATCACAGTACAGGGAAGAAGGCGGCAAACAGCGATGTCAACTCTCGAGTGACACGCTGATGCCACAGCATCCGCCCCCTGGGCTCGGCCCAGGCTCAGGCAGGACTTCAGGATGCGACGTGGGTGAGCGAATTAGTGAGGGAGTCCACGGGGAAGGGACATGCCAGGTCTCCATGGTGAGTTCTCTGGGAAGACAGTCTGGCAACTGGGTCACTTCTAGCTGAGAAGTTCTGGCCTCACAGAGTCCCAGAGAGCTGAGGAGTGGGGACACCTGGGTCATTCCCAGCTGGCCAGGCTTGCTGCCCAGTGAGGTGCTCGGGGTC